CATTTGTGAAGGGGGCCAGGCGCGCTTACTGTGAGTTTTCTTTATACTCGAGGCAGTTGACACTGGTCTTACGATAATTTATTTAATGTAAAGTAAAATGTTAGCTATAATTTTGTATTAAGAATGAAAAATAGTGAATAAAACAAGCATAATCCACTGATCTGAAAGTACTATAATTTTATCCCCGAGCCGGTGCGGAGCACGGTGCGAGGGTACTAATTCCGCCCGGAGATTAGGAATTACACCCGAGACCCGGGAGAACATAGCGGAATCCAAAGTTGCCAAAATGTCATGGACGTTCAATGGTCATGGTACTTGTGCGCATGCGCGAAATGCGAACGAGTGTAGACTGGTAATCAGCAACTTCCTGATTGGCTAAGATGAAACGTTTGTGTTTCAGTGAAAAACGTCAGCAATTTAACTGTCATTTTGCAAACTATTTTTTAAAAAAATGTTCCGAAAACAAAATATGAAATGTGCATGGAATCAAAAAACAGATAAAACACTGGGAAGAGTTTAAAATATTATCAGAACTGGAGGAATTAGCGGTGAAAAGGAACAACTCGATTATAATCCTTGAAATGGTAGGAGTCTATTTTGTTTATTTCGAGGTTTATTTCGTGTTTGCTGTACGAATACATTTTATGACCTTGGTACAGTATGCCGTTTTGCTCGGTTTTGCGAAGACGTGACCGACTATTTAAGGCTTTACATCATCGTTTTAACTTCCAAAAGAGTCCTTAAGAGTGTAATTCGGAGTTTTAATATAACAAATATCACTTTAAAGGTTTATATATAGTCGGCTGCAATCACTGCACGAATTTATTAATCGAAAAACAACATTCGACGTTCACTGCTTGGTTATTTATATTATTTGGGCTGTTTTGATGTTTTGAAGGTTTAGCTATAATGAAGTATTAACTCTCACTTAAACTGTGAAAGTCTATAACTTAATGCAACGGAAAACAGCAGGAGAACGGGTGATTTCACTTCACCTTTACGACTGTGTTCGTTTCCGAAATATTTGAAACATCAGCTATCGGCTTTACGTTTAGGACATTTCATAATAATTATTGAAGGTTAGGTCTGGCTAGCTCAGGAAATATCTTGCTTCGTTTGAAATGGCGAGGGTTTGCTGCATGCATGTATTTCTAGTTTAATTTAGATCCAGTTGAATATCACATTGCTTCGCTTTTCGTAAGAAAGCATATTAATAAGTGGAAATTTCTTCCGGTCACTCCTCACGTTATGAGATTATAGTAAACTAATTTTCAAATAATTTCTGTGCCCAAAATTTTTCTGGATTCCCTTTATGAGGGCTGTATCGTTCCGTTTATCTGAATAAAATGGAATCAATCGAGTTTTGTCGCTCGACTCTATGTGTAAGGCCAATATCATTGAAAAATTTATTTCGCTACGCGTCTATTTATAACACAGCTATCATCAAAATTTTCCCAAAAGAATTGAGCAGCTTCCTCAACCGAATACAACTGTCTGGCTTTTCGGCATTGTTTTCTTCTACCTTTGACCCTTCGCTGGTTAATAAATCTGTTTGAAAAGATCTCGTCCTTATATAAGTTGGGTTGGGGAGGCAAGGTTTTCCCAAATTACAGTCTGGAAATCCCCATCTAAAGGCTGAGCAATTACAAGTTTAGTTTATGTGTCAAAAGCCTGTATAAAAAAATCGCGTTTAAATACTCTGAGATATCATTTAAGATTAAGTTTCATTGAAAACGAATTAATGGCATATATAGGAAATTGGGGCAAGATATATATGACAATTATATAATTTCTATGTATGATAATTCTGGGTATTCCCAAAGGTTTTCCACATTGGAAAAAATTTCGATGACTTGCAAGATTTATCTTTTCAACGCAGATTTCCCTTCTCTGGCTCACACTGGGGTTTCCCCTGCTCAGACTGGCATCTCATTTTTGATAGCGAACAGGCGCCGGATTATAATACTAATGGAGTAGAAAATAAAGTTGTTTATATTCTATCTTTTAGTCCAATATAGATTTGGCTAAACACAAGGTACTGTTAGATTTTGCGCTAGTAATCTAAGCGGAATACTGCATCCCCTTTAAAGCATCCTACTCACCAATTGTCTTCTGTTGGAACTCTTTCTATATAGTTGTAAGGTTGAAAGGAAAATAAAATCCTGGGGCGAAGTTGGTTATCTCCATTCAAACACCTTACCCAACAGTTTTGTGCCCACCAATGATCCCGAGACAAATCATATTGTGATAGTGGTCGTTGAAATGCGCGGCAACTTACAGAAAACAAATCACGCGTCCATTATATTAAAATAATGTCTATACAAGAACAACTAACCATAAGTGCCGCCGACTGCATGCATGCAGCCGAATAGCCTGATAAGTTAAAAATGAATGAATGGATTGTTCACACATGGAATTAATATCTCTTGTAGCACAGCGATAGATTCCACACCGATATTTCAAGACTGACTTCGACTTTGTTAACAAGCTATTCATTTATTAACTTACTTTCCTTTCTTTAATTACTCTTACTTTAATTTCGAATGAGTTTTCAACGTTTAAACTATATATTGATCGTCGCCAGATGTAAATGCTTGCACGATCTCAGTTTACACGAGTCTTACTCCTGCATGTGGCATTATATATACCTGGTTTGTGTATTAGGTGATGTAATTTGATATATTACGTATGGGGGACTACCTACTAAAGAATTGTCATCGCCGGATGCCAGCCAGAACAAAACGATGAAACTCAAAGAAGCTCATTGATCTGGAATATTACATTGCACGACGCGTACGAAGGGAAAGAGCGAATTCTTATCAATATTCAACGCCGATGAAATGAGGTTGTTCATTAGCAAGAAGGAATAAAATATATTCTGTTATTAAGCTCTATAATTTTATAGATTTGCCTGAACATAAAGACTGTTCGCTTTCTCTCTAGACCTGCAATGCACATTCGATTCCGATTTTCTCGTGCACTTTCTAGACGGGTGATTCTTTTTTATTTTACTAACATATTCGTCTACATAACCAGGGAGCAGCGTGGCAGCGTCTTCAAACAACTTAATGCAGAGTTAGTATGGAGAGCTAGTCATACTAACTCTCCAGTTAGTCATACTAACTCTCCTGACGCAGGCCCTCAGATCGAAACGTCGAGAATTGTTTTGTCTATGCTTGATCTTTTACATGAGTCATGTCCTAGCTGTGCTGTAGCATTATATATACCTGGTTTGTGCATTGGATAATGTAATTTGATATTTCAGGCTACGTATGGGATTAATAAGCCAGAATTCAACGATTAAATAACCTAAAGAAGCTCATTGATCTGCCATGTTACATTGCATGCATAAATGCCTACGAGGGGGAAACTTTCAATATTTGGGAATTCCCCTTTTATCCCGATTGATTTTCCCTAATTTAGATACCGAATTTTAAAAACCGATTAATCACAAGATAATTTGAAACATTGTTTTTAAAACTATAAAACTACGCCTTATATTCTTGTTTTGATAATCTGTTCGCATGCTTTTCAAAGCCAGTATCGGCAGTATATATTCGGCCTTGCACGCCCTCGCGTATACGAGTTAAAAGACAGGTATGCAATGCATACATGTGGGTAGCCTCTAAAGCATTGGCAAAGATTTTCAAGTTTTGTTCAATCTCAAATGACAGGCCGCAATAATGGCGGGAAAATCAACTGCATTATGCTTAGTTTTACGTTCTAATGCCATACGCAAAGGCAAAAATGGGCTAATTTGCTAGTTGGATACCGTGAGTTGTAACAAAGTAGACATAAGAATCATCAATGAAATACCAATGAAATACCATTTCTGCGATTAATTTATCTGAAAGTTTAGGCCAGTTTACACCGATCAGGCTGACAAAGTTTCGGCTCTGCCCAGTCTCTTTCGTAGATAAACAAACTCGGCGGACAGACATGCATCATCGCTCATCGTTTTTTGCGTGTAGCATAATGGTTAGCCCGCGAACGGGCTACCCACAAAAATGATGAATTGTTATGACAGAACATTTGGAATGAAATCAACGTTAATTGTTGGAGAGTTTATTTATATATTCAGTTCTGCTCGACGGATTTTTTTTGTAAGGAATTGAGCTTAAGAACGAAATCCACCGGGCAGAACTGAATATGTGAATAAACACTCCCCCCTGGTCATCGTACTAGCCGTGCAACACGTATCTTATCACCCGCATATTGTGTTCTTCACGCAGTCGTTTGCGGGGATTATAGTGACTGTTTTCAGTCATGCATTATTCTGGGACTTGGGGAACAATTGTAAGTTGCTTATGGAAATAACGTCTCACGTTTCATTGATAACGATCTGTTTGTGCACTATAGCTATATATTCGTGAAGTGTTATCGTAATCGCATTAATACAGTTTTAAATCTATATATATGTATGAAATGATTGTAAAACCACCGTCGCCTGTATCTTAAAAGCTGACTGACACTGAAACTTTTTAAATGGAAGGTTTTAATCACGTCGTAACGATTCTATGACGGTCTTTCCACTCGAATAAGAGCTCCGTTTTCAGTGTTTTGCATTAATTAACTTTTACATTGATCAGCAATAACAGAATTTCATGTCATACTCGATTAGTTTGAGTCCAAGTGAGCGTTTTGAACAATGTTCTCACTTCTAAAGAAATCTCCTTAGAAAAGCTCGACTCTATAGTCGAGCTATAGGAGAGAGGTATATTCAATTATATATATATATATATAAATATATATATATATATATATATAAATATATATATATATATATATAATATATATATTATATACATATATATATATAATTATATATATATATATATATATATATATATATATATATATATATATATATATATATATATATATATATATATATATATATATACACGTTGCATGACATGACGATTTCACATTTGAAAGGCAAAGATAATTATATTCAATTGATAATCAATTGATGTTAGGTTAAATGTTTTACAACTATTGTATTGATCAGCTTCTCGCAAACATAGATTACTATTAGATTAATGATTTAACAACAGTTTTGATTAGGGATAGTTCTATTCTTGGTTAATTGTTTTTCTACCTCATCTGATTTCTTGGTATATGACAGCTTTCTTTCTTCAATCACCCCAATCCCTGGAGAACCAAATTATCGGCCTAAGTATCTAAAATACATATAGAAAAATTCATTAAATTATTACGTAGCTATTCACCAACTTGATTTTCATTATAGTTGATAGTAGGATACGTTTTCCAAATAAAATTAATAAGTAAGTCAAAAACTATAATATAGTAGTAGTCTAATTAATATAAAGACTTTGCATCAAATGTTGTATAGCTACTGCCTGACATGGACAAAAACACTTCTGGACGTTCCGATACTAGCGACTGAGGTATACCATGTCAACCTGAAAGAGCTGCCGCGCTCCCTGACCCTGCATGGATATATTGGGAGGTATAATTTGAAAATTAAACGAGACTTACCTGTAAGTCGAAGTTTGATTGTGATTCTGCCGAATCACCCAGAGCGCTTAGGGATTACGTGAGAAGCACAGCGATCACGCAACTTAGTCAGTCTTTAACGCAGGAACTGTGTGCCAGGCAACCCACCAGAATTTGGGTGGGAAATACCCCTTAGTGGAGGGCACGTAATCCCTAAGCGCTCTGGGTGATTCGGCAGAATCACAATCAAACTTCGACTTACAGGTAAGTCTCGTTTAATTTTCAAATTCTACCTCATCACCCGCTGCGCTTAGCGATCACGTGAGATTTTAAAGCGTTGCAGGCACACAGTGTCAATTGTCACAAAGCTCTCGAAAGAACAAAACGTTTGTAATATAATCTTAAGTGAACAATACATATAAATTAGGTTGATAGAACCTTGTTAGCATATTCTGAATTTGATTGAATAATAGTCTTTTTGTAATACTTAGCAAATGTACAGTCAGATTTCCAACCTGCTACCTTCAAGATTTCATTGATTGGTTGTTCAGCTTGCGATGCTGCAGACGTTGAGGCCGCTCTTGTGCTATGCGGTTTGAAAATGTTAACGTTTATTCCGGCCAGAACCATAACGTTTTTAATCCATCGTCGTATTGTCTCCCGGCTAACTTTCTTATGAGGTTTATTGAAGCTGATAAAAAGTTGCCCATCATCGGATCTGAGGTTTTCCGTGCGCCGGAGATATTCGTCCAAACAACGATAGACACATAACCGAGTATCTGGGGCAAAAGCCATTAATGTAATAACTGTTGCTTTGTCGCCAGGTTTGCTTGTTTTAACCAGTTCGGTAATTGTAAAAGAGAAGCATGATTCAGTTTTGGTCATATTTTTAGTATTTAGCAAATGAATAGTTTGTCCCCTTTGCGCGGACACTAAGGCAACCAACATCACGAGTTTGTAGGTTAACTCCTTTAATGTCAAATCGGGAACCGGTGACATTCCCTTAAGTTTTTGAAGTACAAGTTTGACATCCCAAATTTCAGTATATCGCGGTACACTTGGTCGCATGTTGTATACGCCTCGCAGAAACCGAACAGCCAGTGGATGAGAGCCAAACGCGGTTCCTGTTGAGATAAGGATAGATGAAATAGCGGATCGGGCGGTGTTAATTGCGCTATAGCCGAGGCCACTGTCGAACAGAGTAGTGAGAAATTCTAACGCGCTCTCTACAGGTGCGCGAATCGGATCAATTTTCCTTTTACAACAAAACTGTCCCCATCGCTTGAGGTACGAGTTGTACTGTTTTTTGCTTCCATCTCGCCAAGATCTGAGCATGATGGAGATAGCGCCTTGCGAAAGTCCTCTTGCGCGATATGATTGTTCGACAATTTTAAGGCCATCAATCTCATTTTCTTGGCTAGAGGGTGGTTGTTCGGGCTTCTCGGTAGACGTAGAAGGTTCGCTCGTTGAGGCAAAAGAAGTGGAATCGCTACCAACATTTGTAACGCCCTGGTGAACCAGGGTTGGGTTGGCCAAAGGGGTAGTATAAATATCCCTGTTGTCGCTGTCGTGTCCAATTTCTGGAGGCAATGGCTTATCATGCTAAACGGTGGGAACGCATAAAGTAATTTAAATTTATGCCAGTCTATCGAAAAAGCGTCAATAAATTTTGCATGTGGATCAGGTTGCCATGCAACATATGCGCTCAATTGAGCATTCAGGCGCGAAGCAAACAAGTCTATATCAGGTGCACCAAAAAGATTTGTGATTGAAATAAACACAGCCGGATCGAGCATCCATTCGGTGTTGTCATTAAATACCCGCGACTTTCGATCAGCTATTATATTTTGGGTTCCCGGCAAGTGTGTCGCACTTAACCAAATATTGCGCTTAATAGCCCAAAGCCAAATCTGGCGAGAAACATTGTTACATTCTGGTGATTTACTGCCACCCATTGAGTTGATGTAAGAAACAGCAGTTGTGTTATCAAGCTGCAACTGTATGTGGGTGTTTGATTCATCGGAACACAGAGACTGTAAAGCGAACAGTGCAGCCTGCAGTTCCAATACATTGATATGAAACTGGCTTTCTGCAGCTGTCCATCGTCCCCCTGTGGTGACGTTATTGTACACAGCACCCCAGCCGATTAGCGAGGCGTCAGATTGTACAAATGTGTTAGGAGGATCACGATGCACAGGGTTGGTTGCCGTCTCAACGTGGTCAATCCACCACTGTAATTCGCATTTAGCGTCGGGTGGAAGTGAAATTTTACTGCTGTAATTCCCTTTGGACGCACGCAGTCCTGCGCTTTTAGCTGTCTCAAGCGCGCGGTAATACAAAGGACCATTAGCAACACCGGGGAAACTGGACACTAGTAATCCGATTACTTCAGCAATTGCCTGAAGTGAAGGAAATGTAGCCGAAAATAATTTTGAACACATGTTTTTTTACTTTTATAGCCTTTTCAGGTGTTAAACGCACAATCATAAGCAATGAGTCCAATATGAACCCAAGAAATACCAGCCGCTGGGTTGGTACCAAGACAGATTTGTCTGGATGTGTAATAAACCCAACTTTTTTGAACAGTGTAACTGTAGCATCCACTGTTTTAGAGCATTCATCAATTGTATCTCCTTGGAGATATGTATCATCAATATAGCCAAAGCAAACATGACCTAATTTACGAAGCGTTGCAAATAAAGGTTTCAACAACTTGGTAAAAACACGAGGCGCACAACCCAAGCCATTAGGCAAGCAGGTAAATTTGTACATGTGACCGCGCCAACAAAATTTTAAAAACTTTTGGTGCTCTTCGGCAATTGGTACGGTATAATATGCATCTTTTAAATCAACAGATGCCATATAACAATTTTTCCGCATCATTTTTATGGCGGTCACTAATGTATCCATCTTAAAGTGATGGTACTCGACAAAGCTATTAAGCCGTTTGAGATTTAAGATCATACGGTAATTGCCGTCCTTTTTAGGACGTACAAAGACGGTTGAGATAAATTCGCCATCTTCGGGCTCAGAGGGTACTATGACCCCTTTTTCCAACAATTTTGTGACCTCACCGTCAATTATGTGCTGCTCACTGGCAGAAAAGGAAATTTGGCTAGGAATCCGATTTTGAATCGGTTGTACCCCCTCGATAAACTCTATATGGTAATGAGAGGCAGTGTCTAGAATGCTCTTGTCAGAGGTAAGGCATGCCCATTCGGATAAAAAATGTTTTAATCTTCCGGCAATTTTTGTCGCACAAACATGTGGTACAGAAGATAAAGAAGTCAAGTAAAAATTACTTACATTTACTGGCGTGGCATTGGTGGTTTGGAGTTCCCGCGTTTCCGGGGTGCGTTGAAGCGGCGCCGGTCGAAAAAATGTTTTTGGCCTTGCCGCCCGCCTCTGGGGCCAGAGTATCTCGAATTGGAGACTCTATCGAATTGACGACCATGAGAAACTCGTTGACCGACTTTGTTAACTTCAGTCATATCTTTGACTTTTTTCGATAGGTCGTCCCCAAATAGCCATTCGGTAACTGGATTGGAAGGGGAGCACAAGGGCCGATAGTCCTGATGTAGCTCCGGTTTAATGCACTCACGGCGTCTGGCATAAAGCTCGTGGTTAGCCTGAGTGGTAAAGGCAATAGCGTCGGTCATTTTGCGGATTAATTCCGCGGTAGAAGGGACGTCTTTCTTTTCGTCCTCCGAGGTTGCCAGTGACTTAGTGAGGGTGTCCGTTACCTGCACCATGGCTATTAAGCCCTTGGTGAGCGCCGTCTGAATCTTTTGAAACTTTAAGTCATTAGATCTAGTTTCAGTCTTCAATTTATCCCATATCGGGGGATTGACACGTACTGGGATGAACGCCGTACAATTTTCTGGTCGATCATAGAGTTTGTACTTCGCAGATAAGGTTTCATCTGATAGTTTTTCGCGCGCCAAATTATTGGCGATTGTCGCGAGTTTATCCAGAACTGGAGGTGCACAAGGTGCCTCCATTTGAAACTCTTGCGCGATGTTTTCGAGAAGACAACTTGATGGCGTGTCACTCTGTATGGAGCCTTGACCATTGTCGCCACCATCACTGGCACTCGCAGACGAGAGCAATTGAGTAACCGAAGCGTCCAAACACGGCTGTTTCGGTGCTGGTTCCCCGTCCGCGGGATCGTCGTCAAGCAGTGATTCATCTATAGGGTCGTCCATAGGTCGCTGAAGTTGATCAACGGACTTCGACAAATTGGTCATAGTTTTAACCATTTCTTGCATGGTCGCTAAAAGAACGCTATTAGTGTCCGAGGGCGTGATTACACGGCTCCCCTGACTAGCATTGAGTTGTGATACTTCTGTAAAATCACTAGAAGTACCTAAGTTTTCATCGATGTTCATCGTTAATGTAGATTATAGAAACTTTCGAGAGCTACGAAAAAGACGTCTAGTCGCTAAAAGGATCGTTAATGCACTGACTAAGTTGCGTGATCGCTGTGCTTCTCACGTGATCGCTAAGCGCAGCGGGTGATGAGGTAGAATCCAACACGTTTGTCCAGTCTAGTTTCTTAAACTAACTTTTTACTCAGATTAAGGCACTTGACAGCTAGCTAAGCTACTTCACTCGTGTCTTTGGTTGAACCGCGCACACTAAAAATTTAATGCTTGATGCATGGCAGCTTTCGAGCAAGGTTGATCACCGAAACCAGGTACACCCGAACTTACTCTTTACAGCCTTTCAGCAAATTTTTTGGCCACGTGATATTGACATCAGCACGTTTACAAGTGTCGACGTAACTGGCGTATGATTCACAATAAAATTTCGGAAACTCGCGCGGCCTTTTGCTATGGCAGATATCATAGATACAATCTTCAATATATGAGTCCACCTTGACGTGGTCATGGCATGCTGAGAATGGAGGGCGTTCTAATTTCTTGCATTCACCGTTTGCTGCTTTAAGTTTAGACAGACTGTTGTCGCATGGATTTGGTATATCAGGAGGTTTTGGACAAGATTTGTTGACTTTCCAGGAGTCGACAAAATCTTGGTCATTTCCTGCATCTGTTCTGTCAGGTTTCACGAGATCCTTCGAGGTCTTTCCGTTATATTCACCACAAATCCCGCTTAAAGTTCCACTGAATTCATCACCAATATTGATGTTGGCGTTATATAAGCCATCGTAGTCAACAGTCAGACCAACATCTGTTGTTACTGTAACTTTGTTACCAATTTTTTTTATGCTCACACCTAAAATGCGCATATGTTTTTTAGTCAGCGCGAAAGCAAACATTGAGAAAGTCCTTGAAAACTAAATTTTTGTTAACAATTAATGCTTACACTTGGCTCAAACAAAGAAAATCTTATTTTAACTAGCCAATTCTCGCTCTGTAGTTGAAATGTCAATGAGAATAGTCAATGAGCTAATCGCACTCAATTCCTAGACATGCATATTCTAATTAATTAATCTTTGCATCTAAAGGGAAAATATACTAGAAAATTGGACACTACTTGGATGTATTGATGACAAATTAGGGATTTCCTACCCCGTCTGCAGTATGGTAATTTCTTGTCATGTCCAAAAACAGTGACGGTTCCTCCACGCTTGATAACAATATCAAGTTTTTTCACCAGTATGGTAACTTCGTCAGTGCATGAAACACTGCGTCCACACGAATTTTCGGCCCTTCCAAGCACGGTGAACGTTTTTGTATCATCTTTAACTAGCGTATATTGACACACGCCTTGAAAGTTGATATCTTTGCCAGTAAACGTTCGATAATGTGGGTCACCAGTAACACTACACGTGAGAATTTCTGCAATTAAAACATTCCATTCAATTATAAATCTGCACCTTTCGTTTTACAGATATCATACATGAGAGCGATCGAAGTCATAACCTGAGAATCCATGTTATCTATCGATGTCTATGGGCTGAAATTTTATTATTTCAGTTTTTTGTGCGAACGAGTATATATGACTTATAATTTAATGTGCCTGATCTTGTACAAGTAAGTGCGTGCAAGGAAAAAATCAAATCCAAATTTGCCGTGTATTTACGTAGAATACAGGGTGAGTAAAAAAAAGTCCCCCCTATTGAAATGAAGCCTTTGTTGATTTGAATGCATGATCAACGCAGTAGTGTGCAAATAGCATAGTTATTAGGTTGAGGCATTCAAATAAAGCGTCTTGCTTTCAATTGGGTTTATCATAATATTAAGGCAATCAGATTCTAACAAAGGCTTGATTTCAATAGAGGGGACTTTTTTCTGACTCACCCTGTATATGTGACAAAAATGGGTGATTTTTATACCATTATTAAAATAAGTTTATTAATTTGTATGCATGTACGTACGTATTTACCGCGTCATAAATCCGTTGGAAAATGAACAGATTTTCTAAAAATTTGTCCGGAAAGGCTCTGAAATGCCACTAAAATGCAAATTTAATCTGCTAATGCTAATTTAATTTGTTGATTCAGATTTGCACTATCTTTCGAACTCCTATTGGAGCGGAAAAAGTTTATTTCAAGTAATCATTTCAAACAACATTTAAAAAAGATCAAAATCATATGAATTATATGAGTCTATATGCGATAAGTGCTGAATATGCATGAATGCAAATTTGCCTAGTATCATTATGACGTATTAATGTGTAATGTTTATTGACTGATATAATTGAAACTTTTTATTAGGAATAATAATTAAGAATATCTGTAAAACGATTCATGAATGCATTCAATGACAGAAAACATTTGTAAAAGAAGTTTTTAATTTAAGCAATTTAAAAGATTTTAGTATGTGAACTAAAACCATTTGTTTTACTAAAAATTGAATGATAGGCAATGAATCACAATAATTTTATAAAGTTCGAGATAATCGACGAAATTAAAGCACACTTACGGCTGCTATCCTGGATTGCAACACCAGCCAAGATTGCGAAACCGAGTACGACTTTGAACATCTTTTAATACTGCGCTTTCTAAGATGTGTTAAAATAACAGAATAATTCGTGGTATAATATATATAGACATATTTAAGCGGAGGGCAGCAGGCTTAACAATTTTATCACTCGCCTACACTTTAAGATATTCGAAAGCCTTGACTTGTATGATGTATAGGTTATGATGGATTGTTACAATTAAGGTATACCTGTATAGGGTCTCTTAATATTAGTCCTGCTCTTAGCACATGAAATTAACGAGGTTCGAAACAGGCCAGATATGTTGGTGGACGGTTATTCAGCTACCGCGTGAAGTAGAGTCAAGACTTTAATTTCGAGCTCATTATATGCTAAATTTATCCACTTTAGTTTTTCGGTAGAAACAATGCAGAGGGAACTTATGGTCCACACATGCTGGTGAAGAATTTAGTACGCATGCATGTCGTTCATTAGGACGACCTACACGTAACAGCCATGCATGTTGGATTCTACCAGTTTAATCGCAGGCGAAATTAGTGCTTAGTAGCCATAGATTATGTTAGTAATTTAGTATAGCTTATGCTGAATGCATTGCATGATTGCAATGCATTGCATTGCAATAAGGTTGATAATTCAGCACCAGAATTTGAATCTTCGTCAAATTCCGCCTATTTTGATAGTAAATTTATGAATATTCTCGACGATTTCGAAATGGCAAAATGAGCGGAAAGATGTGGGTTTGGATGTTGTTTGGCTACTCATTATGTATTCAAGTGGTTGTCGCTTTATCCTTTCAAGTGGTTGTCGCTGTATCGCGGATGTTTTGAAGCATTTAAACAAAGGCTTAGAAATGCAGTCACCGTATTATTTGCCAAAACGTATCGGTTAACGTAAGGTTCCCTTAGGTCTTTGCGCCATCTGGTTTAAATATGAGTGTCATATTGCGCGTCATTCACGGCGTGCGGGGCACTGGACACCAGTTGAGGCCAATGTTCGTGATAGTATTACGAAAGTTTGACAGTGCTAAATTTGCCCACTTTCCGTAGAAACCAGAAAGAACTTGTGGTGCAGTCAGCATGCGCACAGTGGTGCAGCATTTAGCACGCATACATGTCGTTCGTAATGGCGATCCACAAGTAACAGCAATGACGGGTTTTAATCACATGCATGCAGAAGAAATTATTGCATAGTTCCTGTTTATTATATTATACGGCAAAGCATCACATAGTTGTCAGCTACTCACCGTGAAATAAAGATTAACAAATTGTGGCTTTTCAAACCAGTGTAGGTAGCTTTGTCTTCCAAGACAGACCTGGCGATCCAAAGACCGATATTGGGCCAATGCTTAAGTAGGCACGCTTTGGTTTGTATCTGGTCTATTTCACGTAATTTAGAAAAATTACAGATAAAATTGCATTTCAATTTTGTTCAAAAAATTGTGACATGTTTGTCTTCCAGGATAATGCAGAGAATGTCATTTTATCCAGTTTATGTACATAAACTATTTTGAAAAGCTGCGGTAGTGCCGGAATTTATATCTAAGTAGCTATTGGTCAACAAGTTGTTGAACTCAGTTCTGAATACCGCTCAGACATTAAAAATCTGCAAAATATCAACTGTTCTGTTTAATTATTAATTAAAATTTTGCACGGGAACACTCTTGCATGCAACTATTGATTGTTATTTGTATTTTTACCTTGTGCCTGTTCCATCAAACTAGCAATTCATATTGTAAATTCCAAATTACAAGATATTAGCCACTTTTCTGTTTTAATTATTATGACTCATCAGAAAATTTCATTTAAGATACCTCGGATCCGCAGTCTACGGTTACGAGATGCCGGTAGCGTTACTTTTCTGGTGTATGGGCTGCTTTTCACTGTCGCGTTATTTTCACGTACGTACACGCACCGGTTTAAAATCATTTAAATGATACTTAAAAAATCAGCAATTGAACACACGAATAGAGTTGAATTATATGTTAAAGATTTGGTGTGTGTTTTTTCTGCAATAAAATTTATTACTTAACAACTTTAACAAGACGTTTTTATACTTTTACGTGCGCGTATACCAACAAAAAAGCGAAATTGGAGAGCAGCCGTATAATTTTCTTTGTAGTTTACATGTTAAATGGTATAAATGGACGTCCACTTGTAGTTCGAAAAAATACCCCAAACATCTATGTTGCTATACCGGGGGATCTAAACTCTATATAAACTATGTATGTTGGGTTTTTTGTGCTGGAGTGGTGGTTATTCTAGAGTAGTTTTAACAGGGCCGTAGCTAGAAGCTTAATTGGGGGGGTGCATATTCATATATACGTCATATGCCCGAATGATTTCTTTTGTATGCTATTGTTCCTATGGTATATAAACATGAATATATGAATATACACCCCCCCCCCAATTAAGCGGTCTAGCTACGGCCCTGAGTTTTAAATTAGAGTATGAAATTTCAGTGAGTGATATATGCACGTTTGAACAATTAATGCGATAAGTATGTGGGTTAGATGTGAGACGGTGCTTCAGTCGGAAAGTTCGTTCACAGCCCAAGCTATGGTAAATATTTGCTAGTCAAGTGGAAGTGAATGAACTCTTTGTTGTTGAAACAAGATAAAGTAAATATTATTTTGGTCTTGTGTCATGATGTCAATTCTCGTTCCATTAGGCAAGATAATTAGTACTTTCATGAACAAATAATACTCAAGTTAATGCGCACGAAAACCTTGCTTTAAATTACGGTTCATGGCACAATATATTTTAGGTAAAATTGCTCTGCTTTAGCCGTACTAATGCAATTTTCAAGTGTGGGTACTGATGCACAAAGCAGTTTTTAATAGAATGTGTCATTGAAAAAAAAATGAAAAATCAAGTTGTCCTATGTACGTCATGTGCATGCACGTACCTGTAGAATTCACATGAATAACAATAATTCTACAACAACTCTTTACCATAGCATATAATATTTGTCGTTACTTTCTGACTACAACCTTAAGGTTCCTAATAAAAATTAAAAACTTATACCTACTCGCGAAGGCCGTGGAAAATGAAAGGGCACTTCATATGTAGACTAAATCATAATTAATAAAGTCTAACTACTGACACTACATCGACTACCAAAATTGCCCAAACAAACCGCTTCGCGTTGGACAGCTTTCTCAAACTGCATGTATTGAAAAGAAAGATTGATTATTATCTATTTTACCAACTGCATGATACACAGGCGTTGGAACGATCGAATTTAAATTCAGGGGGTTGAAATCGAGGCTAGCGTAGTGAACGAACCTATATGTTATGGCATGTTTATGTGAGGAGCAGATTCTCTTGGCAGCAGGTTTCAACAAACGTTCTTGTACATCATTGTACATCAATAAATAATTAGCACATTTAAGAATGTTAACCCAGTCTCTATTGACCACGAGCTCTTAGTAACTTATAGGTAGTAGCTGGGTAGGACGGGTTTTCTGGGGTCAACCCCAATCAATTTGCCACACATGTTAGGCCGGTTTTCAAATAGCGATAATTTTTGGCGTGAAGCGATATTTCCCTTTTGTTCCAGAGCTGTCAACAGCAACCATCGGGAACACTGAATTGCACAAAATTCGAGCAAAATATATCGCTGTGGAAAACCAGCTGTGCGAGGCTTTCTCCGCCTCTGCATGGTATACATTTTGTGCAGAAATAACCTAACACCGCGATTGCCATTCGGTTGCAGTCGACCGATTGAAACTGCAAACGACCGCAAGGGGAAAATACGCGATCGCGGTTGCCCTTCGCTTCCGAACGGAATTTTATGAACAGCTGAAATCGACAACACAATAATCACATTGAAAACATCTTCAGAAATGTCTGTCAGACCGAATTCGGCCGAGGTTCAACCTCGGTCTAACCAAGGTCAACTGCGGTTTTTGTTAGGTAATTTCTGGACAGTACTGTGAATACCCCAAACATTGACGGAAATTAAAATACATAATGCGTACAAGCTAACCCGGCGCGTAGCCGGGAAATCTTGACCTCTCTCTAAATAAAAGAATGTAGTTATGTTATTTCTTTGGTTCCGAAATCCGGAGTAGTTTTTAAGTCCAAATTCTCTGATGAAAATTCATTAGATCATATATACACATTCCCACCCCAAGTTATGGTACATATTAGCTAAGTCAAGTGGAAGTCAATGAACGTTTTCATAAAGAAACAAGGTAAATCAAACATAATGTCATGTGTTATGTAATGGTGTCAATCATCATTTCACCAGGCAAGATCAATAGTACTTTAATAATTATTGAAAAATAACACTCAAGTTACGTTGTGAACGAAAACCTTGCATTAATTTGCGTTCATGACACATAATCTAGGTAAAATTGCTCTTGTTTAACTTTACTCAATTTTCAATTGCGGCGGTACTGATGCAGGAGTAGGGACCTTAAACATGTAGGAAGGGAATACGTTGACTGGAGGGATCTAGACTCTATCTAAAGTATGAAGGTTGTGCTTTTTCGTCCTGGAGTGGTGGTTATTGTGGAGAAGTTTTAAATTAGAGTGTGAAATTTCAGTGAATGATATATGCACGTTTGAACAATTAACGCGCTAAGTATGTGGGTTAGATGCGAGACGGTGCTTCAGTCGGAAAGTTCGTTCACACCCCAAGCTGTGGTAAATATTTGCTAGTCAAGTGGAAGTGAATGAACGTTTTGGTGTTGAAACAAGATAAAGTAAATATAATTTCGGACTTGTGTCATGATGTCAATTGTCCTTCAATCAGGCAAGATAATTAGTACTTTCATGGACAAATAGTACTCAAGTTACTGTGGACGAAAACCTTGCTTTAAATTACGTTTATGGCACATATTTTAGGTAAAATTGCTCCGGTTTAACCGTACTCAATTTTCAAGTGCGGGTACTGATGCACAAAGCAGTTTTTAATAAAATGTGTCGTTGAAATATTGAAAAATTAAACGGTTCTATGGAAGCTTTAGTCTTTTAGAAGCCGACAAATCTCTGGTTTTCACGTCATGTGTACAACGTCTGCATCTCGAGACACAGGAAGCGCTATACACGTATACCTGTAAAATTCACACGAATCACAATAATTCTGTAACAACTCTTTACCATAGCATATAATATTTGTCGTCACCTTCTGACTACAACCTTAAGGTCCACTACTACCACTAAATCGACTAACAAAATTGCCCTGACAAAACGGTTCGCGTTGGACAGCTTTTTCAAATTGCATATATTAAAAAGAAAGAATATTACGAATGATTATTATCTATTTTACCAACAGTATTATACAGAGCCGTAGGAACGAATTTAAATTCAGGGGACTGAAATCGAGGCTAGTGTAGTGAATGAACCTACACGCTGGTCCAACTTAGCTAAGTTTCTCCCACTCGTGCGGGCTCATGTTGTCAGCGGACAACTTACACAAAATTGAGAGCAGAGCGTAAAACGAAAAGCTTTTAATTTTTTATGCGAAGACCGCTGGAAAACTGAGCCCTCTTTACCGGGAGAAAATTTGCCGAATATGACCAACGTGCTATATGTTATGGCATGTTTAGGTGAGGAGCAGATTCTCTTGGCAGCAGGTTTCGACAAACGTTCTTCTACATCATTGTACATCATTCAATAATTAGCACAATTAAGAATGTTAACACCACCCCCATTGACCACAAGCTCTCAGTATCTTATAGGTAATAGCAGGGTAGTACGAGTTTTCTATAGGGTCAACCCCAATCAATTTACCACACATGTTAGGCGGGTTTTCATCTAGCGATAATTTTTGGCGCGAAACGATATTTTACTTTTGTTCCAGAGCTTTCAAAAGCAACCATCAGGAATAAATTGCTCAAAATTCGAGTAAAAAATATCGCTGTGGAAAACTAGCTGTGCGAAGCTTTCTCCGCCTCTGCATGGTATACAATACTGTCCACAAATAACCTAACACCGCGAATGCGGTTCGGTTGTGGTCGACCGATGAAAACCGCAGACGGCTGCAAGAGGAAAATACGATCGTGGTTGCCGTTCGCTTCCGAACGGATTGTTATTAACAGCTCACTGACAACAACACAATAGTCAAATCGAAAACATCTTAAGAAATGTCTGTCATACCGAGTTCGACCGAGGTTCAACATCGGTCTTATTGCGGTTCGACCTCGGTCTGACCAAGGTCCACTGCGGTTTTTGTAAGGTAATTTCTGGACAGTACTGTAAATGAATGTCGCCTTGAAGCGCAACCGGGAAATCTTAACCTCTCTCTAAATAAAAGTATGTAGCTATGTTGTTTCTTTGGTTCCGAAATCTGAATTAGTTTTT